AGGGCAAACCCTGCCAACTACTATATTTTCTGCAGCCCCCTGTCCTAGTTACTTTCTATTTATATGACCAGCACCAACTTGGGGAGGAAAGGGTTTATTTGGCTTACACATCCTGATTACAGTTCCTCATTGAGGGAAGTCAGGGCAGGAACTCTGGGTAAAAACCTGGAGGCAGGCGCTGAAGCACAGGCCATGGAGGAATGCTACTTCCTGGCTTGTTCCTTTTGCCTGTTCTCAGTCTGTTTCCTTATATAACCCAGGACCACCTGCCTAGGGTGGTACCACACGCATTGGGCTGGGCCCTCCCATACCACTCAACAATCAAGAAAATGACTCACAGTGGCTGGAGAGACGGCTCAGCGGTTAAGACTACTGGCTGCTCTTGCAGAGGACCCAGGTTCGATTCCCAGCCCCCACATGGTGACTAACAACCACCCATAACTCCACTTCCAGGGGATCTATAACGCCACTTCCAGGGGATCCGACACCTTCTTCTGACCTCCTCAGGCATTGCATGAGTGGGTACACTTATATGCATGCAGGCAATACACTCATACAAATAAAATAAAAATAATAAATTTTTAAAAAAAGAGCACCAACTGTTCTTGGAGAAGACCCAGGTTCAAATCCCAGCATCCAGATGGTGACTAACAACCATCTATAACTCCAGTTCCAGGGGATCCAGTGCCTTTTCTGACCTCCTCAGGCATTGCATGACACAGGTGTACTTACACACATGCAGGCAATATACTCATACACACAAAATAGAACTTTTAAAAAAAGAAAGAAAATGTCTCAGACATGCCCACAGGCCAGTCCAATAGAAGAAATTCCCCAACTGAATTTCTATCTTCCCAGATGTGTTAAGTTGACAACTGAAGCTATCCAGCACACTCCCGGCCTACCCCCCCCGCCCAAGTTCAGTCCCCTCATGGAAGCGAGTGGAGCTTCCACCAAGTGCCTTTTTGCTCAGTATTCCTGAAGAAGAAACAGTGCAAGTGGCACCAGCTGTGTGCCCAGGAGACCACTTACAGAAGGGGCCTGGGTGTACTCTGTGACTAGGGGCCCTTGGGAGCTTGTGGAAGTCAAAGGGACCAGGTCTTACCTGTCTGTCTGTCTCTTGTGCCCACCTCAACACACACACACACACACACACACACAGAGCACATGTCAGGCCTGGTTCTAAGTGTCAAGCATATAGCATGAACAGCATACCATGTTCTACCCTCAAAGTGCTTACAATCTAGCCAGGCTGCCTTGTATAAGTCCTCAATGGCCAGTCCTGAGATGGGGCACCCAGCAGGGGCATGAGCACATTCCAGAAGCTTTGGCTATCCAACAGAGGCATGGATGTAGGGATCTGCCAGTCTGTAAGGCAACCAAGGTAGAAAGCTCTTGGGCGCCCAGTGCTTAGAGTCCCTAGTCCACTCACCAGCACCTGCCACACAGTTTTACTTTAGCCGAGTATCCACTGCACAACTGTGTTTTAAGTAAGTTAACATTCTTAACTCACTCAACTTAGAGGGTTAAATAAATGGTTCTTAAAATGTAACATTTTTGGTGATCTGGTCTCATGTAACCAAGGCTCGTCTTGAACTCACTATGTACTTGATAATGACCTTGAACTTGTGGTCCTCCTGCCTCTACCTCCTGAGTGCTAGAATTACAAGTGTCCACCACCATGCCTTGTTTATGTGGTACTGAGCATAGACTCCAGAGCTTCTTGCATGCTAGACAAGCACTCTAACAAATAAGTTATATCCTCAGCTCCAGAACTTTCTTTTTTTTCCTGAAAGGGCAAACTTGATCATGAGGCAAGGTATCCCTGTCTCTGTCTCTGGTAGCCTACAATAACTTCTCCTGGGTCTTGTATGTACCCTGCAAGTAGAAGATGCAAGGTGGGTCAGAAAAACAACAAGGCCTCTCACAGGTACAGACCTCAAGCCTACTTTACACCCTGGGCCAGAATGAGGTCAGGACAAGGTTCTCCTGCGGCTTCTCCTTTGGGGGTCTGATATACACTAGGAAGGCCAGGGGCCTAAGCCACTGAGAAGTTGCCAGGACCAGCCCAGAATCTAAGGTCATTCATCCCTCTGCTGTGTGGCTTGGGTGGCTCCCTGGAGAGTTTACCACTTGTCACAGGCTCTTAACATGGAACTTTCTCTCACTATGCTGTTGACATAGGCAATGTAACCACAGAACTGCAGCCAGATCCTGCCTGCCTGCCCCAACCCCCACCAGTGGGAAGATTGAAATGTTTCCGATTGAAGTGCTTTCTGCTCACAGCCCCAGAGTTCTTCCCAGCTGCATATATTATTGTCATATTGACACTAATCTGACTCCGATGTCACCTTCATCCTGACGTCTGTTCTTTATGCAAGCTGCCGATCCCGGGGTGGGGAGGCTCAGAAACTGATGACGTTGATCACACAGTAGAGAGGCAGGGATCACTAGGGACTTGAGAGGCTGATTTGGGGAAGGAGATGGGCCCAGGACAGAAGGGGAGACTGAGGCTGAGGGGAGCAGGTCTTGGAAGCCACTGAACATAGGTATGGATGGACTGGGCGATTAATGAATCTGAATAGACCAGTATACAAAGCTGTTTTCTCAGATGGGCAACACAAGGGTCAGACCCTGGCTTCCTCTACCCCTGTGACATAACTGGAAATGGGGCTGTGGGCCTCTGCCTCAGCTCTGTGGCCTCCCCCATGGAGGTTTCCCTAGGAGAAGAATGGGGTTTGGGACAGTGAGGTGTTCCAGCTGAGTTGCTCAGAGCAAGCAAGAAAAGATCTGGGCAGCCAGGTATAGTGGCACACACCTGTAATCCTAGCATTTGGAAGGTACAGGCAGAAGAATCAAGAGTTCAGGGCCACCTGGGCTCCATGAGACCCAGTCTCCAAAAGGAAGAAGAAGAAAAGGGCTGGGGAGATGTGGTTCAGTCAGTAAAGTCACATGCTTTTGAAGCATGAAGATGTGAGTTCAAATCCCCAGAACCCACATGAAAAAAGCAAGGGGGAGTGAATGCACCTGTAATCCCATCAGTAGAGGGATGGGAGACAGACAGGAGATTCACTGGAAGCTCACAGGCCAGCCATCCCTGCTGAACCAGTAAGCCCTGGGCCAAAGAGCAAAGAGACCCTGTCTCAAAAACCAAGGTGGATAGCACTTGAGGAGTGACACCTGAGGTTGATTCTGGTCTCTGCACACAGGTACATGTGCACAGACTCATACAAAGAAGGAAGGAGGGAGGGAGGGAGGGAGAGAGAGAGGGAGAGGGAAGCAATGGATGAAGCAGGGTCAGAGATAGGAGACCAGAATAAGCCATGTTGGGCATCTGCCAAGGGAGGACAGGCAAGTGGCTAGTCATTCAGTGACCGGCCAGTGTTAGAACAGGCAGCCTCCACAGATAAATAGCTACCATGGCAGCACCAGTCCCCAGACATAAATCACAGGCAAAAGCACGGGAAATGAGTGCCAGGCTTTTCTTCCTATTTAGTGATTTATCAAGGGAAGAGGCGCGTTAATAAACACATTTCCCTCGAGGGCCGAGAATAACAGAGATGAATACCACTGTCAGTTTTGGCCTGTTTCCTCTTGTTAGGGGCACCCAAGAGGGTGGGAATCCGAGTGTTAGGAGCAAAATTTGTTTTTGAAAAATATATGACAATGGGCTGTGGAGATGGCTCGGTTGTTAAGGTGCTTAGCTTGCAAGCCTGAGGACCTGTGTGTGATACTCTAGAACCAACATTAAAAAAAAAAAAAAAAAAGCCATGCATAGTGATACTCCCGCTGGGGAGGAGGTAGTGACAGGCAGATCCCTGGAGTTCAGTGGCCAGCCAGCCTAGTCTACTTAGTGAGTTCCAGGTCAGAGAGAGACACTATCTTAAAAAGAAAGTGGACGGTGTCCTGAGGAATGACCTGAGGAGGTCTTCTGACCTCCACATGCATATGGATGCACACATGTCCCCACATATGCAGAAACACACACATATACCAAAAGAAATACATCAAAGACATGTTTCTTCCTTTAGCGAACACTCAATTTTGTATGTTCCCCACATCCTCATGGTTCCCCAGTGGCTGCTCAGTTTGTAACAGGGGGCGTGGATCCCCCTACTTCTGCATCTGACTTTGAGGTGAGGTTTATCAAAGAGTGGAACTGCGTTGCTCAGCTGATGCCTGGATGGAAGCTGGTGGGTGAACATGTGACAGTTCTTCTTTCCTAGACTTTGGCCCTTTCCTTTGTCATAGGCTCACCTGCCAGTCCACACAGGCTAACTAAACCCCCTGAGGAAGTGGTAGGAATTAGCCATTTCAGCTAGACATGTAAGCACCATCCTCAAACCTCAAACCAGAGAGGCTAGGGAAGGCTGCACATCATGCCTGAGATGCTGTGTTAGTTAGTTTTAACTGGTAACTTGACACAACCTAGAATCACCTGTGAAAAGAATTGCACTTGAGGAATTATCTAGATCAGATCGACCTGTGAGCATGTCCGTGGGTGATTGTCTTGTTAATTGATATAAGAAGACTCATTCTGTGGCACGATTTCATGGTCTGTGCCTAAACTGTATTAGTGAAGCAAACTAGCTAAGTAACCACCAGTGAAGCAAGGCTCCACGCTCTTGGCTGTGCATGAGGTACTGTAAGTTCTTGCCTTGACTTCCCCACAAGCATGGAGTGGAGCCTGGACTTGTAAGCCAAACATACCGTTTCTATCCGGGTTTGGCAAATTTCCCACCAGGGTACAGGGGCATTTTAGTGTGATCCTAGCTGCAACATGACCCATGATTTTGGAACTCTTAATTTTGTTCATCTTCCTCCTCTCTGGAGTCCCTACAGCTGTGAAAATGAGCATATCCCCACTGCACTGAGGCATGGAGAAATCATGCAAATTCATAATGTGGGTGGAAAAATTCAGGCATGAAAGTATTTCCCAAATCTATCACCCACTGCCCAGCTAGGTGACATTAATGTACTTTGTATTGGTTGTCCCACAGTGTCACGGTTCTCCAGCCCACGAGTGACCCCCCGCCTGAGCCGCAAGCGGGCGCTGTCCATCTCCCCACTCTCAGATGCCAGCCTCGATCTGCAGCGCATGATCCGGACCTCACCGAACTCACTGGTGGCTTACATCAACAATTCCCGAAGCAGCTCAGCAGCCAGCGGCTCCTATGGGCACCTATCAGCCGGTGCCCTCAGGTGAGCCCCAATAGCAAGCGGGGAGCTAAGACCTAGGAGCTAGACTGGGGCTGCAGGGGAGAGTCTGGCTTTTCTGATGGAGCTTATACTGGAGAAAGACAAAAGAACTTGATGCATTTGTAACTCAGCACACAAGCAACTTCATTGGGAATTCAAAAGCAATAGTGGAGTTGGGAATGTAGCTCAATTGGTAGAGTGCTTACCTGATGTGCACAAGACCCTGAGTTCAATCCCCAGCACTGCATAAACCAGGCATGGTGAACACAGGCCATTAATCCCAGCACTTAGGAGGAGGTAGGAGAATCAGAACTTCAAGGACATCCTTGGCTACACAGTGAGTTCAAAGCCAGCCTGGGCTTTTTGAGCCCATCTCAAAAGAAGAAAAACAGTTTATGCCAACACAGGATTACATGCTCACACAGTTGGCCTGGCATGAAGGCTTCCATCATGATATCAGAGGTATCAGAGGTCAAAAGGAACTTTCTTATGGCCTGGGGAAATGCTACCAGTGGTAGAAGCACTTGCCACACAGGCATGAGGGCCTGAGTCTGAATCCCAAAAACTTATGTAAAAAACTGGGCATGTAGTATGAGTGTTTATGATCCCAACACTCCTATGGGATGATAGGAGGCCAGGACAGGAGTGTCCTCAGAAGCTCACAGGCCAGCTAGCCTGGTGCACACAGTGGACAAACAACAAAAAGACCCTACTAGAACAGACACTCATGCTGTCTTCAGACCTCCACAAGTGCTCTGTGGTACATGCACCTGCAGGTATGCATGCACCCGTGTGCACACACAGAGACATGTTTTAAAATAAAGTGACCTTCTTAGTATTTCCTTGGGTGTGGCAGGGTATCAAGCTGGTGACCCCATTAAAGGCCACACAAGGTGTGGCACTGATATGACTTATTCCCTAAGCCCATCTCAGGCTGGTGACAGGTGAGGCCCTAGCACAGCACTTAAACCCCATTGAAAATGTTCGTGTTCTGCTCTGTGTAGCTCTTGACCACCCTGAGGACTGAACTTACCAGTGTGACTGAAATGTATGTGCTTGTGTTGGGCCTGTGAAGCAGATCAGTTTTCATAGAATTTGATAAATAACAAGCTGCTCTAACACTGAGCATTTCTGAACACTAAGCCTGTGTTGAGGATCAAGAATTTGAGGCTGGTGGGAGGCTAGGAAAGATGGCTTAATGCTTAAGAGTTCTTACTGATCTTGCAGTGCACCCAAATTCATTGAGTTTCTAGCACTCACATTGGGCAGCTCATGACTACCTATAACTACAGCTCCAGGGGACCTGGTGCCCTCTCTGGCCTCCATGGGATCACTTGGAGTACTCATAGACACAGATACACACATACTTAAAAATAAAAATGTATTTTTAAAAAAAAATAATAATTAGGGCCTGGAGAGATGGCTTAGTTCCAAGGTATCTGATGGCTTATTCTGTCTTCCGTGGGTATTGCATGATGCAAGTGTACTTGCATACATGCAAGCAGTACACTCATACACATAATAGAATATTAAAAAAATAATAATTAGAGACTACCATAGCTCTAGGTCTCCCCTAAGACATTGGGGTTTTCTCCTTGCCCCTTTTGCAGGTATAGGGCAGCCCTGTAGAGAGGCTGTGGGCCAGATCTGAAGGGCAGCCTAGGCCTGGGCCTCTGCCTTCAGGGCTGTAGACAAGAGCGTCAACATAGGGCCCCTGACGTGCTCTCACAGAAACAGCTCCCAACCCAGAGATGTTGGAAGGAGCAAGGAGAAAACCACAATGTCTTTGATGACGTGGCCTCAGAGGCCAGCAACATTCCCTTGTCTCCTGCCAGGGAAAAACATCACAGCCAAGTGTGTGACAGAGCTTGTAAGTACAACAGAAACTGAAGATCAGAGGGAATGGTGGGAGCAGACTGGCTCAGTACCGAGGGCCATGCAAGCAGGTGTCCAAGGCCAATTGAAGTTCGGATAGACAGCAGTGATCCAGGGGTACATATCAGGTGTCAGCAGTGGAACAGCCAGGCGTGGAACTGATATAGAACCTGGCATCTGCAGGGAGCCAGCCTGCCCAGGGTCAAGGCTACATTCCAAGAGCTAGGCATGAACATAGTACTCTCTACCCAGAAAGCATTGACCTAATGGAGAACCTGTTCCCCTCCCTCCTTTTCTGTTCTCCATTGCAGCCCAGCCTTCCCCTTCCCCCACCCCATCAACCCTGTGGCCTACCAGCAGATCCTGAACCAGCAGCGAGGCCTGGGCTCAGCCTTCGGACACACACCACCCCTGATCCAACCCTCGCCCACCTTCCTGGCCCAGCAACCCATGGCCCTCACCTCTATCAGCACCATGCCCACCCAGCTCAGTAGCAGCAGCAACTGTCTGAATGATACCAACCAGGTAGGTGGGCCTAGGAAGCAGGGGCTGGGCCAACGCTGCTCATCCTGCCCAAGGGCAATTCATGCTAGGAGCTGGTAGAGCTCTCTGTACTTGAGCCTGGCTGAGGGTTGCTTTTAAGGTAGAGTGCAAGTGATAGGAAGGTCCTTGAGTCCGCCAGGAGCCCTGGCCTTGGACTGTAGCGAACTCCCAGCCACTCAGTTCAGTTTTATCTCATGTCCAATAAACATGAGTGGGTGGAGAAACCTTCCAATCTACACAGGGGCATCATACAAAGCATATGAAACAAGTGGTCTGGACTCTCCCCAGATGCTCCTGGCTTTAGGACTAGCTGGGAAATTCATTTTCTGATGCTTCAAAATACAGAGGGGAGTGGGGGCTAGAGAGATAAGTCAGTGGGTAAAGAGCTTGCCTTGTAAATATGAGGACCTGACTTTGATCCCCAGAACCAACGTAAAAAATAGCTAAGCATGGTGGTGTGCACTTGTAATCTTAGCTATGGGGAAGTGGGACAGGCAGATCTCTGGGGCTTGCTGGCCACCTAGCCTAGCCTAAATGGGAAGCCTCGGGTCCCAGTGAGAGACCCTGTCTTAAAAGAACAAAATGGACGGTGCCTGAGGAACAACACCTAAAGTCGACTTCTGCCCTCCACACAGATGTGTGCATGTGTGCACACAGAAAATACATGGTTGTCCCAGATGGTCTGTGTGGGCAGACCCCAGAGGCATAGCCTAAGTAGAATTGGGGTTGGGAGGGCTCTGCCTTGTACCTACATGACAGGCTACCTCTACTCACTCCCTCAGAACAAGCAGAGCAGCGAGTCAGCCGTGAGCAGCACCGTGAACCCCATCACCATTCACAAGCGCAGCAAGGTCAAGACTGAGGCTGAAGGCCTCCGGCCAGCCTCCCCACTGGGACTGACACAGGTAACCTGCTGGCCACCCTCACTATTCCTAGACTGGGACTAGGCCCAGATCTCCTGTTTTGTCAGATGTCGGGCCCCTGATGTTGAATGGATGAGGAAGAGAGAGAAACAGGGAGGAAAGGAGAGAAGGGGAAGAGGGAGGGAGGGAGGGAGGGAGGTAGGTATGGTTTGGTGGATGGGTACATAGATAGATGGATGGTGGATGGTGAATGGTTGGGATGAGAAAAGAACATGGATGAATGAATGGCAGTTTGAAAATATTAGAGTGTGAGGTGGGCTCACAGAGTTGTGACCCTCTTGGTACTGTGTCCCTAGTGCCCTACATATAAATATCATTGTTATAAAACAAGTTGTGAATGAATGAATGAATGAATGAATGAATACTCCTACCCTTTTATCTTGCACCTTTGCACCTTACTTCAGGTAGGGTTACCCCCACATACATACAGCGTCAGTCTTGAGCAGCAGAAGCCTCAGCCAGACTGAGCTGCTTAAGTCCCCTGAATGGCTCAATTCTTCAAGGGTGTCCCTTTTTCCTGGAGCTCACCGTGTCCTTTACTATGCTACTGGTCCTCCTTGGTAAGGGGGCTTGCAGACACTCAGATGCGAGTTGCTGGGTCACTTCAGGGCAGGAGGGAAGATAACTCCTGGTAGGGAGAATATGAATGGATCAGCTGGGGCCTGGGGCTTGGGGTAGAGGATAGCCTGTCCCCTGGGTGGGGACCAGCCTGAGCAGAACCCTTGGAAGCCCCGCCACTTGGCTCCATTCTCTAAGAGGACACACAGGCCATCCCTGTTTTTAGATCAGGGTCTGTCTTATGAAGGGTTTAGAATGCTTCTGACCTTAGCAGTAAGCCTCCCAGCCCCCAAGCCCTCACAGTGGCATAGATTCAATCTGTTACTCCAGAGTGGCCAGCCACCAAGGAAGCTCAGGGCCTCTGGTCCTTGGCTCCCAGCATCTACTAGACCATCCTTTATCAAGACTGTAAACCATCAGGCATGCTCTGGGCACTTAATTTTCATGAAATATTGGGTCCTGTTATTGTCAAGCAAACAGAGGGGTTGGTGACAAATTCTTCTCTCACTGACACTAGCTCCAGTCTGAACATGATGCATGGTTTCCACGAGGCTCGCCGTCATGGGGGGGGGGGTACTGAAATTGATGAGGACAGCACACATCCAGGGAAGATAAACATGCCAGAACGATAAGGACAGGGCAGAGGCTGGGGGTAGGTGCTTACCAAGCCCTTTGAAGGCTCACACCCCATCCGTGGGTAGGACCCTATAACTTCTCTCCAGCCTAGGCAGGCAACCCAGAGGCCTCCTTCCTACTCAACACCCAGATCTTTTTTTAAAAAAAGTTCTGTTTTACAGGGTGCTGGGAAGATGACCTCATCAGTAAAGCATTCATCACAGACGCATGAGGAACTAAGTTTGGATCCCTAGCACCCAAGTAAAAAGCTGGGTGCAATGACATACTCCTGTATTCCCAGCACTGGAGAGGCATCCCTGGGGCTCACTGGCCAGCCAGACTAGCCAAATCAGCCAGTTCTGGGTTTGGTGAAAAATGCTGTTTGAAATAAACAAGATAGATGGTAACTGAGGAATGACAGGCAGGCTGTCCTCTGTCCTTGTATGCATGCATGCATACATGTGCACCTGAATACAAGTGTGCATGAGCATGCACACATACATACATATAGTCCATGCTGAGGAAATGCTTAGACAGAATCTATACAGATGAGAATGAGGACCACACTTTATCCATGCACTCATACACAGGCACACATACACCCAAATAATTAACATACAGGGTTGCTAAGGCCATTTTCATGTACATGTGCTTGAAGCATATTCTCTTCACACCCTACCCTTCTCCCCCCCCCCATTAGTCCTGTTTGTCCCCCAGGCAGTTACACTTCTACTTTAATGTCATCTGTGTATATGTGATTTTATGTATCTATAAAATCCTGGACCCACAAGTGCAATATTTGTCTTTCTGGGATTGACTTAATTTCCTTAATATGATTATTTCCAGTTGTTTCCATCCAATTTTATACTAAGTGGAGAAAAACTGAAATCAGGAAGACAACAGCACCCACTTTCCCTGCTCTTACTCAATGTTGTGCTTAGAATTTTAGTTAGAACAATATAACGAGGGAAATAAAAGGGTTACAAATAGGAGAGCATGCTGGTTGGTTTTGGTCCGCTTGACACAAATTGGAGACACCTAGGAAGAGGAACCTCAACTGAGGAATTTCCTCCATCAGATTGGCCTGTGGGCCTGTCTTTGGAGCATTTTCTGGATTGCTGGTTTATGGAGGAGGGCTCAGCCCACAATGGGCAGTGCCATCCCTGGACAGGTGGCCCTGGGCTGTATAACAAAAGTAGCTGAGCTGTCCAGGGGGAGCAGGTCAATACGTAGTGTTCCTCCATGAGGAACTCCTTGAGTTTCTGCCCTGACTTCCCTCAAAGACAGACTGTGCTTTGGAAATGTAAGATGAAATAAACCCTTTCCTCCCAAGCTGGTTTTGAATGGTGCTTTAATCACAACATCAGAAAGCAAACTAGAATAGAAATTGCAGATGACATGATTCTATACATATACAAGACGCTAAAGACTCCACCAGAAAACTCTGATAAACACTTCTAGCTACATGCAGGATACAAAATTAACATGCAGAAATTAATACCCTTCCTATATACCAGTAATAAACATGCTGAGAAAGAAATCAGAAAAGCAAATCGGGCAAGGCGGGGCATTCCTGGAATCCCAGTACTGGAGGCAGAGGCCAGAGGATCAGGAGTTTAAGGCAAGCCTTGACAGCAAAGTGAGTTCTAGGCTTAGGCTATGTTAGACCCTGTCTCAGAGAGATGGGGGTGGGAGTAGTGAGGAGGGGGAGTAGGGAGGAGGAGGAGGAGGAAGAGGAGGAGGAGGAGGAGGAAGAGAGAGGAAGGAAGGAGGGAAGTAGGTAGGCCACCCCATTCACAGTTACCACAGAAAGCCTCTTTTCAGGAGAGGAGGCCAGGCCAGGGTCACTCCATGTCTGGTTCACTGCAAGGCAATGGAGATGCCTCCCTTTGACAGAAAAGGTAGCATAGTGACTTCACTCTCTTCTGAAGCCCTCAAATTGCAGGTAGGAAGGGTGCCTGCTCAGCCTGGGTACCTGTCCATGGCTTTAGCAACCTTAAGATGGGCCTGTTGGGTCTCATCTTAAGTGAGCAGAGCCTGTGGTGTGTGGGAATAGTAAAGCTCTTCCCAGCTGCTCTTCAGTTGCACAGTGGGCTTCAGGAGCCCCTCTTACCCTTTCTTTCTACAGTCTCACTTCAACTGCCCCATGATACTAGATACTTGAAATTGAGGCTGCTGGTTACCCCAAACTGAGGCTGCTGGATACCCAGAAGTTAGGTGTTCCCCTCTACACACACACACACACACACACACACACACACACACACACACACGTGC